GGCAACAACTACTCCGGGGGCGGCTCCTACAACTCGGGCTCCCACGGGGGCTACGGGGGCTCCGGGGGCGGGGGCTCCTCGTACCAAGGTAAGGCAGGTCAGTATTGACACCCCCACGGTGCCAACTTTGGGGTTTGACCCCAAATCCATCCTGACCCTAAATCAATCTTCCTCTTCCTCCTCCTCCTCCTAGGTGGATACTCATCGCAGTCCAACTACAACTCTCCGGGTTCCCAGAACTACAGCGGCCCCCCCAGCTCCTACCAGGCGTCCCAGGGTGGATACGGCAGGAACGAGCACAGCATGAGTTACCAGTACAGATAAACCCCCGTGTCCCTCCCGCTGCCTTCCCCACCACCGGCATTTCCCGGATTTTATCCCGTTTTTTCCCATTCTCCCAATTCCCCGTTGCTCTGTGTGACCCGTCACCGGCGCCCGCCCTACCCCGGGGCCTCTATTTAATGGGTCGTAGTTGCCACGACGACTTGGTCTAAATAGGATTATTATTATTATTTTTTTTTTGTTTTGTTTTGTTTTTTTGGGGTTTTTTTTCGGGGAAGTCGATCCGATTCCGGAGCCTTTTCCCAGGCCCCGGCTGGGGGACGGGCCCTCGTTGTTCTGCTTTTGTGAAGTGCGTTAAAAAAGAAGCTTTTTTCGGTATTTTCTGGCTTTGGTGGTTTCCTTTTGGGGAGGGGGTTGAGGGAGGTGAATAATCTGGGATGGTTTGGGGTCCCGACGCGTCGTTCTGCACCTCCAAACCCCAGGATTTGGAGGATTCTCATAAAACCCCAAAATTCTGAATATTTGTCCTTTAAAACCCCAAACATTCAGGGCTTGTCCCTTAAACCTCCCTAAGTTCAGAATACTGGGGTTGAAGTGAAGCTGAACTGGGGCCAGACTGGGGTTGGACTGGGGCGATTGCATCCTCGTGGATGAGTCTTGTGCCAGCGGTTCTGGATTGCTCCATGCCGGAGCTGCACCCCAGCAAACACCGGGAACGGCTCCTGGCAAACACCGGGAACAGAACAGGGCCTGGCAAACACCGGGAACGGCTCCTGGAACGGGGCAGGGCCCGGCAAACACTGGGAACGGCTCCTGGAACGGGGCAGGGCCCAGCAAACACCAGGAATGGCTCCCGGCAAACACCGGGAACAGCTCCTGGCAAACACCGGGAACGGCTCCTGGAACGGGGCAGGGCTTGGCAAACACCGGGAACAGCCTGGCAAACACCGGAAACAGGGCCTGGAACAGGGCAGGGCCCGGCAAACACCGGGAACAGCTCCTGGCAAACACCGGGAACGGGGCCTGGCAAACACCGGGAACAGCTCCTGGCAAACACCGGGAACGGCTCCTGGAACGGGGCAGGGCCCAGCAAACACCGGGAACAGAGCCGGGCAAACACCAGGAACGGGGCCTGGAACGGGGCAGGGCCTGGCAAACACCGGGAACAGCCTGGCAAACACCGGGAATGGCTCCTGGAACGGGGCAGGGCCCAGCAAACACCGGGAACAGCCTGGCAAACACCGGGAACAGGGCAGGGCAAACACCGGGAACAGCTCCTGGCAAACACCGGGAACGGCTCCTGGAACGGGGCAGGGCCCGGCAAACACCGGGAATGGCTCCTGGCAAACACCGGGAACNAAGGATTTCTTGGTTTTTAAGGAAACCCCGAGGTGTTTTAATCAACTGGGGCCATGCTGGGGCTGAACTGGGGTCAAACTGGGGTCAAACTGGAGCTGAACTAGGGTTGAACTGGGGTCAAACTGGGGCTGAATAGTGCCTGAACTAGGGTTGATCTGGGGTCATACTGGGGCTGAACTGGGGTCAAATTGGGGCTGAATTGAGCCTGAACTAGGGTTGAACTGGGGCTGAACTGGGGTCAAATTGGGGCTGAATTGAGCCTGAACTAAGGTTGAACTGGGGTCAAACTGGGGCTGAACTGGGGTCAAATTGGGGCCGAACTGGGGTCAAACTGTGGCTGAATAGAGCCTGAACTAGGGTTGAACTGGGCTCAAACTGGGGCTGAACTGAGCCTGAACTAGGGTTGAACTGGGGTCAAACTGGGACCGAACTGGGGCTGAATTGAGCCTGAACTAGAGTTGAACTGGGGTCAAACTGGGGTTGAACTGGGGTCAAACTGGGGCTGAATTGAGCCTGAACTAGGGTTGAACTGGGGTCAAACTGGGGCTGAACTGGGGTCAAACTGGGGCTGAACTGGGGTCAAACTGGGGCTGAATTGAGCCTGAACTAGGGTTGAACTGGGGCTGAACTAGGGTTGATCTTGGGGTCATACTGGGGTTGAATTTGGGGCCATACTGGGGTTGATCTGGAGCCATACTGGGGTTATACTGGGGTCAAACTGGGGTTGAATTGAGCCTGAACTAGGGTTGATCTGGGGTCAAACTGGGGCTGAACTAGGGCTGAACTGGGGCTGAACTAGGGTTGATCTGGAGTCATACTGGGGTTATACTGGAGCCATACTGGGTCTGAAATGGGGCTGAACTAGGGTTGATCTGGGGTCATACTGGGGTTGAACTGGAGCCATACTGGAGTTGATCTGGGCCTGAACTAGGCTTGATCTTGGGGTCATACTGGGGTTGGTCTGGGGGCCATACTGGGCTTGAACTGGAGCCATACTGGGGCTGAACTAGGGTTGATCTTGGGGTCATACTGCGGTTGATCTGGGGGCCATACTGGGGTTGAACTGGAGTCATACTGGAGTTGAACTGGGGTCATACTGGGGCTGAACTGGGGCCATACTGGGTCTGAACTGGAGCCATACTGGGGTTGATCTGGGGCTGAACTAGGCTTGATCTTGGGGTCATACTGGGGTTGGACTGGGGCTATACTGGGTCTGAACTAGGGTTAATCTTGGGGTCATACTGGGGTTGAACTGGGGCTGAACTAGGGTTGATCTTGGGGTCACACTGGGGCCATACTGGGGTTGAACTGGGGGCCATACTGGGGTTGAACTGGGGCCAAACTGAGACACCTCTTCCCCTCCTCTCTCCACCCAGGCCAGTTCTACAGCAACGGTGGCCACTCCAATTCCGGCGGCGGTGGTGGCGGTGGCTCCTCGGGCTACGGCTCCTACTACCAGGGCGGGGACGGCTACACCGCCCCGGCCCCGCCCAAACACGGCGGTGGCAAAAAACAGCAGCACGGAGGTGGCCAAAAATCCTCCTACGGCTCGGGCTACA